CTTTCGTCTCCGACTTGGATTTTTGTATGGTGTCAGCCTTGGCGATGCTATCTTTTTTTGTTGGTGTCAATGTATTATCCGAACTGCTTCGMGTTAAAATATTTTCAGAGCTACTGTGCTTAAGTTCAGATGAAGAAGACTTTGGTAATGTTACTACAGATTCGTTGATAACGATCGATGGTTCGATGAGATTTGGTTCGGTATTGGGTTCGATAGGGATGTAAATGTCGCCGTCATCATCGTCGCTGTCCGATTTGAAGTCGTCGGGACACGAAGCTATAGCGAGGTCCGAAACTGCATCGAAGAATTCGTCGTTGTCGCTGAGAAGGGAGAGTTTGCTAGCGTGGTGAATACGCTGGGAAAAAAGGAAATATTGTAAATGTGGGATATGGTGAATGAATAGAAATGGGAGGAAAAAAAGATGGAAAAAAGTAAAGAAATGAAGAGAAGAAAAACGAAAAGGAGCAAATGCTGGACTTTGTATTGGCTAAGAAATGAAAAATAAAACCGTATTGTTGGAAGTAGACTGAGATATTAAAAAGTATAGATGACGAAGAAATTAAATATAACAAAGAAAGAAATACGCAAGTAAACAAATCACCTTGCTAAACCAACCTCAAGGTCGATCTCAAGAGGTAGTACATCCTCTGTTTAACCGTGCATAAAAAGTACCGCAAAACAACCCTTAGTTCGATCTAAAGGGGTCAAAGGTTGTTTTAAAGAGGTTATGTATCTATTTTCATTCATACCTCATTCATTCCTATAGAGCACTCTAGGGCGTGGTGTTCGGTAGCCAACACGTGAAGAGCATCTTCTAGTACACGTCTTTTCTCTACCTCTTCCTCCATGTGCAYTTTCCTGACCTGGAATACAAAGAGAARACTCGAATACTCGCAGAGAATTTTCGAATCCAAAGCGAGTAACCGCTGTTTTATTTGACAGTAGATTCTCTTACGCAAAAACCTCACAAACACAAAAGAAAGCACAAGAAAATGTTGTAAGTACAATAGCGCTAACAATTTACATTTTTCTCGAGTTGAGACTAACCATGTATTCCCAGAAGGAAATGCACATTTTCAAGGCTATTGTAATAACGACATTTTCTCGTGCTTTCTTTTGTGCTTGGTCAGGTCTTTGCGCAAGAGAATCTGCTGTCAAATAAAGCAGCGGTTGTTCACTGTGAATGGACGGACACGTCGATATTGCGGACAGTAAAATACTGAATCCCCGGCGAAAAATACAAAGCTAAAAAAATGACTGAAAGTAACTCTCGTTACTACTGACTCTCGCTACTTCGGACACTAAATTACGGTCCCGAGGYTGTCCGTAATAGCGAGGGTTGACTGTCTGTATTTACAATTTCTATTTATGATATTATAGATTGATGTGCCAAGATTCATAGTCTGGTTATTGTTAAACTGGATTTCACTGTACCTCTTCTTGCTGCATGAGCATGTCCAAACAATGAGACAACACATTACACATGTCTTTAGACGAAGTCACTATCTCGTCAAGCTTTGTCTTGATTTGAATCATATTCATTGATGCTGTGAAAATAGTGAAAATGACATATTCGTGGTTTCTCTATATATTGGAGGTAAATAAAACTCAATAAGTTTTTCAATCCTAATTTTTAACGTGGTGCACAAGTCAGTTTAACCAGTTAACCAGTTAACACCAGTTTAACGGCTAGGTATCTTACAGGAGGAGCCGGCGGGGTCTGTTCTTCTAAATAACTGTTCTGGCAAGAATGTTTTCCTGGGAAAGGGATTTTGAGCTACATTGTTGTTAACAATCTCACAAGCAAATGTGTCGGCCTTCCTTCTTTAAAATAATTTTGCTACTGGCAAACGTTTGTAAGTTCAAAAAACGCTTATATAACGTTTTTTTTATGGTCAAAAACGGCTTACATTTTTTTAGTTAGGAAAAAATAGATTTTTCTGGCAAAAATTCTTAGAAATTGTCCCTTGCCTGGAGAGTTCTTTTTTCCTAAATTTCTCGCTGGKAACCAGTTGTGACTTACAGCTGGCAGGGACAGAAGAACAGATATATTTCTCCCAGGAACCCGTCGCTTCSTCCTAAAATCTTAWAYTATTGGATAGTGTTKTKGTTTACCTTTACTTTGTGACTTGTTGGCAGTGATTTCACTGAATGTACTGATAAGTGAAGTAGCCATTGCTACTTGTCGCTCTAAANCAAAGAGGGCACTGGTAACGAGGTTGGAATGCTTTGATGCGACGTCATAGTGAGAAAGATAAATTAAAACTCCGAAGTTTTAGAGAGACTCATCCCTAAAAAACCGCCGAATGACTTTCGAAAATTAATAGATACCTACACAATAGCACCTCTGAATTCCCTAACATTCCACGGCTTTGGATGAGAAGTCTAGTAAGCAGTTCGGCTCATTTTTTATCGGTTATTGCTGTTGTCGTTGTTGCTTCTAATTTTATCGTCGTCGTTGTTCTTGTTACTTATTTTTCTTACTTTTTTGTCCTACCTTAAAAGAGTCCTGGACATTTCCAACTGGTACAAAGTTTTCATCACTTTCATCAAAGAGTAACGTGGGGCATGTTGTATAGTGTGTGCTGTACGCACAGTGTTCACGTAATGAGTTCAGCCAACGCTAACAAAACAAAACAAAACAAAAAACATAGGATCAAAATGTCCATAAAAATCACTGCAAATATCGCCGCAAAGATCACCATTGTGAACGGATTTTTAGGAAGAAATCCTCTTCTACGCAGGGGAAATTTCAGTGAGAAATACACACAYCAACAAGAGATGCTATTTGAAGGCGTACCTGTCGAAGTACTTGCGGAGCTGCTTCATTTGATCCAATACTAAATATATGTTGAGTATTGTCTGAATACTCGATTTTAATCTTATGTTTTTCTTCTTTTGGGACCTATGGGAATTAAGAAAAATAAACACATGAAAAAATGACACATAGCAAGCTACACTTAAACATCACGAGTTCTTAATATAAACATCAGCCTGCCATCAATCAATAATACAACAACTCTGACAATCTCTTCCCAAGATACGTTTTCCGAGCAGCGAAGCCCTGAGAACGATGCTGTTGACTAAAATAACCGAAAAAGACATAGTCAACCCAAGCTAGTAATTATATGCATTATAGATACCACTAAATAAGCTATTCAAATCCTTTGCTTAAATTGCCTGTAAAAAAGACTGCAAAGTTGGCTTTTGAACCGTTGAATCATTTAAAAAAGGCGTGATCGCGATTTGAGAGCAGTGTATCAAGTAATTTGTATACTGTTCCATGACGTCTGACCCTATCACACATGGCTTAGATCCTCTCCTCATTTCCTCTCTCTCTCTCTATCCTCCAATAGACTTCTGAACCTATTACGTCACTACTTGATTCCCACTGCATTATGGGATCAGTTATTAAAGAAACAAAAGAAATCCGCCATGTTTTGTCCCAAACATATCCTACAATGCATTGAGTATGCAGTACATGACGTAAAAGCTTCAGAGGTCTATTGGAGTTTAAGTTACCGAAAATTTGGCATGGTCCAAATACTTAAATCCTTGTCTTTTGTGTCCCGATACAGCGTCTGCCCTAATGTAACAATCAAAAAAAAAAAAAAGTTATACTTTAGATTTTAGTGCAAATAATAAACTTTTCGCAGCAGAAATTGCCTCTCCAAAAGACAGTTGTTGAGTAAAGGAATGTCAGTTTCCTTCATTATGACCTTTTTCTTTTAGTTCCCTACGCCATATTAAATTAAGGTAACCGTGCCTTTGCATCGAGGCGAGACTATTGTTYACCTTGCAATGATAGAAACCTGTGGATAACTGTCTGTAGGTGTGAAGGTTTCTATCATTGCACGCTCAACAACGCTCGTCTCGATTCCATACATAGAAGCGATAAAAAAACATTACCTTTTGTTATAGTACGATAAAATTCCTCTTTCAAGAACAACCCAGTATTTCCTCCATCCAAAAAATCTTGATCTCTACAATAATTGTAAATAAAAAATGAGATATACCATATCGCGTCGCGCATTTGCCGTGCAGCATGACTGGCGCTGCCGTACCACTGCCGTGCTACAGTCACGCCGAACTCAATTGATTCAAACGTCGAGCTGTTCATGTGCTAAATTCACACTAATTTGGTTCGGCGCGACGATGGCTCGACGTATGAACCAGGCCTGAATGAGGAAAAAACAGAAAAACAGAAAAAAACACTGATTTTGTTAGCAAACAAGGCACTGAATGCATTTTACGTCATATTACTCATTGTGAAATGTTATTTCCTAGTGTTTCTATAATATCATGGCATATATTATCAACTATTCTTACCCTAAGCAACATTCCTTCGTGTCTGGTAACAACTTTATGGATCGACTGCAATCGTATCATTGAGAACAAAAATCAATTACGACAGTACAAGATTAATGTGGAAATGATTTAAGCCTTTTTGAAAAGATAGTTGACTGTCTACGATTTCGTCAATGTATTTTACATACACCTGATTGAAAAAARGTTATCAAGCTCAAAAATGTTAAATCACCGAAGCTACAGTAGTAATGCAGGCCTGTTGGTGCCCAGAATTATCTTTGATCTTTCGATGCCGTTACCTTTTGGAACCTGACAACGTTTAATCAGGTGTACTCATTATAAGCATTAATAGTCGATTAGTTTTATGGATGAGGTACGAGAAGCATTATTAGWGTGTTTTTTTGAACAATTATCGAATCAATGAAGCTCCTAGCTGAAAGTAGCCTGTCAACCTGTCTGTCTGTCCAAACCCTTGCCGTCCTATCTGGTTACATGAAAGACAGCCAGCTGCCCAATGTATACAAATAAAAAGCTCATTTCTGTTAAGGCCGAATTAGATGGTAAAAGCTTTTGCCTACAACTATCCTGTTACAGCGTGGCTATAACTGTCGTACAGATTCAAAATAATTGTCTAATGGCCTTACAAGTTGCAAGGATGACCGAGCTGCATGCGATATTTGTAGGCAAAAGTTGTTAAATTTGCAAAAGAGTTCTGACATTAAAAAAAAAATTCATTCAATTTAGCAGCTTAAAAGAAAGGATGAGCGACGTGTGAGTGTATTATAACATTAGCAGCCATTGGCTATTACCTTCTTTTTTCTAAACGATTGTCTAATTGGACCATTTAGTTCTCTTTTGACCTGAATAACAACAAAAGATAGCAGCTGCATTTTCATGCTCAAAGATGCATATTGCATGAAATGCATATGTGAATCTTCTTACCGGGCCAAGAAAAAACCGAAAATAAATAGGGACGCACTAGTCTCATCCCCAGGGAACTCTTTTTTCCTCCTTTGGGCTTCCTTTGTAACGGTAATCTTGGCCTCTCTCTCMCCCCCATTCTCCCTCTTTTGACTCCCAAAAAAGACAMGAAGCCCGTGAWTCTTAGTGATGCCTGCAGAGGAGGCTGGGGTCGTGTTTTAGATTTCTCATATTTGCAAAATTAGACATCAATAATACATTTGGAATCCGATTGCTCCATTCTAAGAGCATAAAAGGATAATAAAGAGTATGTTTTCCTTTTATTACTATAATGTATTTTTATTTTCAAACATCAATTAAATCTCGTAAGGGATTCTTGTCGATCATGACCCTTATAAACATGGACAGCTTCCCGGCAATAACCGACACTGTTAGCTATCTACAGCCTTTGGTATTTATTTCCACATTATCAACTTGGGTGCAATTAGTTTTAATATAAAGTGCGATTAATTCTAGCATATTATTTTTCATGGCAAAGTGAAAATGTTACCCTCATCCAATGACAAAAGATTGCAGGTGTAAATAGTTTACATTATATAATCATTATACAGTACTATCTAATTGTGACTAGCCATGCAGCTATATTATGTGTGAGCTACCAGCGAGCTTCCAGGCAAGCCGCTAAAGACCTCATACAGTTTGCATGCAAAAATATATTGAATATTGTTTATCAAATTCCAACATTAGCAAAAAAAGAATATTTGAAAATCAGAATAAATCTCTTGTTCACACAGACTGATAGCATCTCACGACAATGACTTTCAATTGTGTTTACCTAATAGGTAGTACTATATGACTTACTATGACATGACTTGATATTTAACAAATAGATCTCATTTTTCCGTGCGTGTGTACTCTAATAGATACACAGATGACGTCAAAATGTAGTGAGAACAAAAAAGTGACTGTTGTTCTCGCTACATTTTGACGTCATCTGTGTATCTATTAGAGTACACACGCACGGAAAAATGAGATCTATCTGTTTTATACAACAAACAATTAGTTTTGACGTAKTCCGTGTATCTATACTTTGATAACACACGAAAGCCAACCAATCAAAACGTCTGATTTTACTGAAAAGTTGTATAAATTGATATACATGTAAATTATTGTTGGAATTTCCAGAAAAAAAAATACCCACAATGCATAAGATATATAATGTAATTAGATGCATTGTGGGTTATTTTCACTGAAAACATGGCTTTTGAAGAAATTGCTATTAAACAATTTTGCTGACAGATCTGCCTTATCAAAAAAGAGCAATTAATGTCAAAGTACTATTTTTATGCAAATGAATTGTTTAACATTAAGTATTATCATTTGTTTTATATATTTCAACAAATACATTTATTTCYATTGTAAAAGCAACTTAAATATAAGACTGTTTTTTGGTCAAAATTTGATATTACAAGTAAGACTTCAGTCAATGCAAAAAACACCCATTTATCTATTTTTACAGTACAGCAGCTGTTAAACCTAGCACTTAACACACTAGCAATTACCACAGGTTACACACTTATGCACCATGCTTATAACCAAGAACTTCTTGTCTTCTTCATGGCTCCCTGTGCCATCTTGAAAGGTAACTGTGCCTTTGCATCAAAGCGAGACAACCGTTGAGCATGCAATGATAGAAACCTTCTTTGACACCTACAGACAATTATTCACAGGTATCTATCATTGCACGCTCAACGGTTGTCTCGTTTGGATGTAATGGCACAGCTAACTTTCAATATGGCGCAGGGAACTGTGAAGAAGACTATTCTCCATGCACCTCAGAATGCCATGAAGCAGTGGTTAACCACGGACAGTTATATGCTTTTATTTAAAAGCTGTCTAATGATCTTTTTTTTTTCCTAATAGGTCTTTTTTGGCCTAATAGGTCATCACTATTCAAATGTTACCTGAAGTGGTTGTACATCCAAGAGTTTTTTCATTTTCAAATCCTTAGCYAGCTGTAAGGGTGTTTGTCCTAGTTGAAATGACAATGAAATATAAATATAAAGCTATAGAAAAGTGAAGAAAGGGAAATATGAAAAAGAGATGCAATTGGAAAGAAAAGAAAGGAATAAAAGTAAAGGAAGAGCAAACAAGTGATAAAAAAAATGCTAAATTTAAACYAGCTAGACAAAAATGGTATGAAGAAATGAGAAAAGAAATTTGAAATGAAAGAAAATAATTGAAAGAAGTCAAGGGATGAAGAAAATAAACAAAAGAAAAAAAATGGGAGTCGAAAAGAGAAAACACCAAATAGAGATAGATGTACAGAAAAGGCAAAAAACAGAAGAGGAAATAGCAAAGAACAAATTAAAGGAAAGAGAAACTAAGTTAGAAACATAAAAGAGGGAAAAATGATCAATTAGAAAATTGAGATAAGTGTTCCAAAATATGAAAAGAAATATGTAACATAACATACACACCAGTATTGTTCTTAATGGATGTATCAGCACCATGTTGTAGCAACATAACAGCTATCTCTTTATGACCTCTAAAAACCACAACATTCATTACTACAAATTTTATCCAGGGGTGTAACTTATGGGTTAACTTATTGGCTGTGCAATTTTATAGTAATCTAGCACAAGTGCAGTGCAATGATGGAATGACATTATTGATTTATAGGTACATGTATTACTGTTTATCAAATTCATTAATCATTCATAAGGTAAACACAATGGAAAATCATTGCCGTGACCGCATCTTTATATGAGCAAGAGATTTGTCCTGATTTGCATACGACTTTAACTTTGATTTGCTCTTACAAATGATATTTTATCTTGAAGTTTTTTTGCAAAATATGCTTTAGCTTATGTTGGAATTTGATAAGCAATATAAAATATTCGCATCTGACCTTTATGGGCTTGCAGCTCACAGTTTTATATTGCCTATAAAGGTCTCCCACTCATATTTTATATACTGTATCACATAAAAATGTCATTGAGTATATAAGAGTAAGTATAATATRATAATGATGATTAGTTTAATTAAAAACATTGAATTTAGAGTCTAATTAAGTTGTCAATATAAAGTTTTTGTTTTTTCAATGTCATGTCTTATATCACGACGTTTTAGAATATATAATGTGTGAGATAGATGATAGATATGATACCTGTAAGCTGCACAATGAAGAGGTGTYTTGCCTATAGGGTCCTTACAGTTTATGTCTGGTGCATGTGGAAGCGCAACCTACAATATCATAGAAACAATGCAAAATGATATCAAAATAAATTGGATAAATAGAGGATATTACATGGGCGTGCGGAGATACTGAATTCATCTTGAGTTCGAGTGTTGAAAAGATCTCTAACGTGTAAGCATAGCGAACGAGTGAGAGATTTTCAACACGAGAAGATAAAATTCATATCTCCCATATCCATATCTCATATGTTGAAACCCAGTGTATGGTTTTGATTGCCTCAAACGTAACTTACCAAGCGTTTTAATTCAGAACTGTTGCCGTCAGCAACTGCTGCAAGGAGTTGTTTTTCCAGTTCTAATCTCATACTTTGCTCAGCAGCTGTTAACAATAAAAACTATTATGAATATTTATGAAATACCTGTAAAATAATTTTATTGATGGTATTAGCTCTCTAGTTTTAGACCCTGTTACATTGACTCCTGTGTGAATAAACAAGGGTCTGTATAATGTATGAAAAAGAGCGTTCTCCAACATGGGTCCAACCTACATGTAAGACCGGCAAAATAACCCAGCCTAAGATACTAAAAAAGGATATTATATCCTTCACTTTCCTTGGCTAAAATTCTAGCAAATTACAATGAAAATCAGTAGAGGTTATATTATAAAAACTTTAAAAACATTTTCTTTATGGGAAATGTATTCCCTACCCATATATTATTCCTCCATAAAATAAGCATACTTAAAAKATTTTATAATATATCTATGTATTGGAAGTTACAAGGTTTTTACTGACTTTCTAAACCATACTACTTTCAGTAGAATCTATAACGTCCAAACTTTACCATGAAATATTGTTGTATAAAACTAACCTACAATAAGCTGTTTCACTTCCTCTTTATTAGCAACTTGACTTGGTGTTTTCCCCTCTCCATTMATGTCAGTAACACTGGCTTTGTTTTGCAGAAGTAACAATACCACTGCCTGTAAAATTCAAAGAGCAAAATAAATTAAATTGTCTTCTCAAGAACACTCAACACTCTTGAAAAATGCAGTAGCTTTAGGATGGCTATACAGTAAGTATTTCACTTCACTGTAATATACTTCATTCATTGCACTTAAATAAGCCCCAGCAGATGCCTGTTTCCAGAATTTAAAATGTGGGCATTGCARTTTTTGTAAAAAAATCCAAACATACTATAGCAACACCTGACCCCAAGATYCAGACCTACAATCAAGGACAGAATAGATTGGGACACCATGACCAAAATATGGCAGTTTTATCGAGGCATTATTTACCCTTCCTCCTTCCTCCTCCTCCCCTATCCCTACATGCAATATTATTGTGCATGACGCCATAATACTTGGGAATGAGCATAGCACAAATATAGAACACAACATTGCTAGGGGTGGAAGAGGGGGCATGAATTTTATCATATTGTGAAAATGATAAGTGACTTGTGTCCCAAGTAAAATGTCCATGATTGTAGCATCCTGTCCAGACCTCATACGTAACCAACGTGCCAGATACAACCATTGGCTCTYACATTATTGCACAAAATAGTAATATTTGCAATTAAGCAATWAATTTGTCTAAGCAACTTACAGTTCTTCCTGTAAATGATGCCAAATGTAGGGAAGTGTTTCCCATTCCATTACGTACAGAAACATCAGCTCCAGCCTTAGAACAGTAAACAAAAACAGTCAAAGGAAAAACAATATTTTGCTTGTCATAAGCCTTTTACTTCTGCGAAGCTGGTCCCTTAAACTAAAGTCACTCACCTTGATTAAGGCTTCTGCAACTTCTTTGTTTCCAAAATAAGAAGCTAAGAGAAGTGGTGTCCATCCATTATTGGCTTTGGATTTGCCTAAATGGACATAGAAACATTGTTTAGTCAGTTAGAATTATCAATCATAAGATAAAGAATTCCCTGAGATTGACAGCCCTCTTAAGACTATAGTAAGGAACGAACAATAGAAGAATACCCCTGGGTTCCCCAAGGATGCCCATGTATTACATTGATTTATTGGGAAAATTACTAATTAAAAACTATGATACAGTACTTAAATTACCTTTACAATTGATATCTATTTGAGTGCCATCAGATCGACTTTTGATCAGCTTCTGCAATAAAAATTTAAAATCTATGATAATTTCCTGTCCCTGTTCAACCAGCATTTAGCGCAATCATGTACATGAGAAACAAGTTGACTTGAACTAAATATTCATTCTCAATTCATTTTTATCAAGTGGTTTATATCATAGAGGGGAATGTTTTGAAAACCTTCTGTTGTACTTCTTTTTTCCATCTTTTGTACGTATTTTGACCACTGAATCAGTCAAGACAGTGCACAACTTTTTTTCTTACGGACAATGGAAATTGTAAAATGAGTGAGCACTCTCTATGAGATTATGAAATATAAATTCAGTATTTGTTATAAGTTTTTGTGCATTTAGAAGAAACAGTCAGGAGAATAATTTTCGCTCTGRTCATTCAGATGTGACCAGTTTGGCTAAAACAATTAATAGCTGGAACAAAAGATTGTGCACGGTCACGCTTGGAAAAAAGTGCACAAAAACCTACAACAAAAGGCTTCCTAAACATTTTCCTCTACAAACTACATGTATAATATAAACTCTTGGTCATCCCATCAGGACCCAAAGGTCCACCTGCTTTAGAACAATGGGCCACATGCATCCAAGAACCTTGTGACCGTTTTGCATTTTGTAAAGCGTGGATTTCACTAGCGCATAAGCATAGGCATAAGAACGAAGCATGAGAGTAATATGCACCAGTGAGAACGGGCTCAAAATAAGCATAAGCATGAGCACAAGAAAAACAAGCAAGGCTTGATCTTCTTGTGCTTATCTCATGCTTATCTCATGCTTATGCTTAGAGAGAACGAGATTGCATAGGTATAAGCATAGCCTGCTACCGAAATAATACGCTCGTGCGGATGCTCAATGTCTTATGCTTATGTTCTCACTGGCGCATATGATTCTCATGCTTGTGCTTATACTATGCTTATGCGCTAGTGAAATCCACGCTTAATAATGCAAATCTTAGATACCCGGCAGACACTTTGCCTGGTCTAAGTCAAACAACATACCAGACACTTTGGTCTTGTCACAGCCACCCSTTGCATATATTTAGTTTTATTCAATCATTTTTGTTGTCGAGAATATTAGTCACTTGAATTCAGAGGCAACCCATAATTTCAACTTTTGAAAATATTAGAAACAGTCACTACTTGTATGTTTCATTAAACTAAATGGGACCACAAATTTTATCAAAATACAATATTTTGAATAAAATTATGCTGATCATTCATCAAAAAGGGAGCATTTTTTTTGATGAATAAATATTTCTTAAAGGCCCAGTGTGCACCATTATGCTTTGGGGGCCGTTTGGAGGCGGCCATTTTCAATTTACCAAAAGCCTATAAATTGTACTGTGCGTTTCTAATCTTTGACCATTTCACTTTTCTAAGCACTTTAAACAATAACATTAGAATTTTCAGCCATCTTACTTTGTTTTATGTTGATATTTGAATACTAGAAGTATTTTGGTGTAAATCATAACAATAACAGATGCTCGCAAAGCATAATGGTGCAAACTGGGCCTTTAAGTGTAACCTGGAAAGGATACATAATATATGCTACCAAGGAATCTTGGGATAAAATAGCATGCAAGTCATTAACAGTAACATGGAAACTGAAAACTAAACTGCTAGAGCTGTCACGTTTAAGCAAGAATGTAACAAGAGTTGCCATGAATTTTGTAAAGGATCTTCCTTAAAATTATAATCTTAAAATTCATGATATTATTTGGTCTAGTGATGCAGCTGAGAGATTTTATTAGCAACCTGAAACCCATGAGATCTAGCATGTATTTTGACCTTTGGGGCAGCTACAGTTGTAACACTTGTGGTTTCTTATGATTCACATGATTAAATAACAAAGCCATGTTGGTATAAGCATTCTGAGACATGGCTTGCTGCCCAAATAAGGCAGATAAAATAAAAAAATGGTTTAGATATAAAGCGGCTACTGATATAAGGGAAACAAAGAGCACTAGAAATGCAAAAGGAACACTCAAGCTACATGTACATTAATTACTCATGTTACGTTCCGGCACTTCTTCTCCATCTTCTGCCGTGTTTATATCAGATGAGATATGCACAAATATTTATTTTATTTCTTAAACAATCAAAATGATATAAATGATATGTAGACTTGTTTAAAGTCTTTTATCATATAATTATCTATGAAATACCTATATTTCTCCATTACGTAAAATTGATATTTTCACTAGTGAAAATAACATGTTATTTTCACTAGTGAAAATAACACATTCGAGGTTTTTCTATATAGTGGAAGAAAGAAAAAAGGTATTTTAAGACATAACTTGCTTTCATATTTAATTATATGATAAACAGAATATTACATGGTCGCTTGGAGATACAAATTGTATCTTCTCGTGTTGAAAATCTTTCACTCGTTCGCTACACTCACTRGTGAGAGATCTTTTCAACACTCTAAGATAAAAACCGTATCTCCGCGCGCCCATGTAATATCCTCTATATATCAAAGTAAAATGCAATTTCAGAGTAAATTATCTGAGATGTTACTAATACTATACACTTTTTCTGTGGTCATGGAGCCTTAACTAAACCAAAATTATTAACCTTAAAAACAAAAATTTATGAATAATAAACAAATTCTACAATTAAATATACAAAAATATAATTATCTTAGATCATATCAGTTGCACAAACATTTTTAATTATTTTGAGATGTAGAATATTACTGCATTGTTTAGACGTAGAAACTTCCCACTAAATTCGACAGATGAAATGGTTGCATAATAAGCCTGCTCCCACACTTAAAGAATTTCATGTATTTTGCACARGTAAATTATAAACGATTTGCCACGCAAAARTTGAAGAAAGATTTAATTARWGGTATAGAAATAGATAACGTTTAGAAAAATGTCAAGAATAAATCCTAAAATTGAAGTTTTTGATAATCTTTTTAGAAAWAATCGACAACGAGTATTTTGCTAACAGCCCGTTCATCACATGATTTAAGTTTGTAGAAATTACCAGATGCACGAGCCGGCACAAAAAATCACGCAAAACAAAACACAATCGCAACAGATTTTACCGCAACAGACGAATAAAACAATTACGAAATAAAGAATAGGATGTGTTAATTTTTCAAAAGCTTAACGATAGGAAGTCTAAATAATTCGTGATTTATTTAAAGCTTAGAGTCAGACGAAACCTCCAAAAGTTGCTTACGTTGACTTGGAAATCAATATTGCCATTCACAAAAGAGATTCAATCATTCTTGAGATGCAATRGTACAGATTTAATCATAAAAATGGAGGATTTACTTCAGTAAATATCAGTTCAAATTAACTATACATAAAAGGCTAAAAGGCTAGCTTGATGTTGTTTAGAGAATCAACAAAAAGGCAACTCACTTACCAACACAGTGTCCAATTCTCCGCGTCTCGATGCTTGCAGCAACCTCTCTTCGCGCTCGTCTTTTTTGCTACTTGACATTTCTGTCCCTCGATAGACTCATGACGAACTCCTATATCCAAAAGTGGGTCATTTTGTCTAAATATAAGAGAATAAGTAGAAAAATAATGACAGCTCCTTGATGTTTCTTCCCAAATGTGAACAAACCCACAGTAAGATTCTAGTGCCCAGTCCTTTAATTTACTCGTACTGCGCATGCGTCGATATGGCGATAATTTCCCAAATTACATTCAGCCACATTTGAATTTAATTTAAAACACCAATAAACTTTGATGCCAGGGCGCCGACCTCCTCTACATTTCCTTTATACGCTGCCTTTTTCTTGTACTTCTTTGCTCGTGTTTGCCTGAAAGACGTCCGGAAATGACGTCAAAACATGTTGAAATATTGTACWTTTAAACGTATTTACTTCTAGAATTTTTGCTTCTTGAATTTACAAAGTCTAATTACCAAAATTGTACATTTTAGAGTGCATAAATTATCTATGAAAATGATACATTCGGTTACATGTAATATCAGTAATGACGTCATTCTAGCCTAGTCGTGACACCACACCAGTTCCTCAGGCAGCCCATGAACTGAGATTTAAAATTTCGACTTATGTGTATTTAACAAATTCCAAGACAATAAGCTTCAATCACTTGTATTGCTAGTTCAYTGTTCAGACCACCAGACTATAATTACATCGTGTACATTTATAAATATGGCATCCAAGGATATGTTTTGTCCTGTCCCCAGTTATATCAATATATCATCTTTCAAAAGTTGTAAGCTAGAGCGTAACAGCGATTGCAGGACCGAAAGTTGATGTGAGTATATACAGATTTTGAAAGGAAATATTCCTTTATCTAATGTTGAAATACACTTACTAACCAAACAAATCAACAAAATAAAAATCTATATTTGATAGAAACAGTTAACACCTTCCATATCCATGAGTGAATACTTGCCATCATCAAAAAATGCCCATGATACTTTTCGGTCGTGGACTCGCTCTTGCTGTGACATCCTTTWTTAAAGGCCCAGTTTGCACCATTATGCTTTGCGCGCCTCTGTTATTGTTAAGATTTTTTTTWAATACTTCTAATGTCCAGATATCACCATAAAAGGAATGTCCGATGTTTGAAAGCTCTAATATTAGCGTTGAAAGTGCTTAGAAAAGTGACATGGTCAAGATTAAGATCAGTATGAGCGGATTCGAAACGCACTGTACATTTCAATATAGAATTGCGGTAAACTGAAAATGGCCACCGCCAGGCCATCYCGGGCCCCAAAGCATAATGGTGCACACTGGGCCTGTAAAATAGGCAGTAATGAAAAAAAATTCCAAGTTCATAAGTAGCGCCTCTACAACGGAAATATGTATGCATCTACTTGGAGTGCGATAACTGGCCTGGCGATCACTTTTCATGATTCTTTCACTAGCATATTTTTGTATTCACAAATTAATCATCTTACAAATCGATAGAGAAAACAACGGCAGTGTTGAGCTCTGAGTTGATGACAAATTTTCAGCAAATCTCTGATCAAAAGTCTGCCATTATTTTTACCGAACATTTGCATGGCATGAAAAGGCACCTCATGTTAATGCTTCTTCTTCTTGTCTTCATCTTTTTCCTTAAAAAAATGTCGTTTTAGAGCATGTAGAAAGTGAGCAAGTAGGTTTACCGCCCTCTGTTGACCTCTGTTGAAACGGGGTGTAGAAATCCAAGCACTTATATCCAAAACTAAGGCGGCAAGTCTACACTACGAGTAAGCAAAACGTAATCGGACGGATTTCTTGGGATATCAAGCTCAACATTCCAGGGGGAGGGGGCATACCGCAAAGGGGGGGCAWACCAGTTGATGGCGAATATCACTATTTTTCCATACGTTTCTGAAAATACGACGTAACCTCAAAGCCAAAAAACTCTCCTCAATAAGCTGAAATTTGAGTAGTTGAGAAAGGCCACAATTTCACGCAAATAGCCTTTACTTCTTGAGAATCTTGTTGAAAGATTATCTAATGCATGGGCAGTCTCAAGCGCAGGGTCAAGCGATTATATCCAAGATACTTGCAAATGATGAATTTTGATGTTGTCTTCAAGACGTCCTTTTAATCCGATAAAACAAATGAAATATAAGACTCGTGATCGACAAATAATTACCCGATATGTTGATTTAAAGTCCCGTTTGCACTTGCGATTTTTTACTTTATACTCGCGCCCTCAAATCGTACGTGTAAAATCTCCGCCAGTTGCAGGTAAATCGCGCAGCAAAAATTAATTGCAAGTGTAAACTGGCCTTAAGGAAGCAATGACATTAAATTACAGTCATTTCAGGAGGAACGTGACGTTTTTGGCCTGTTCCATAACTGTCCAAGTTAATGATGGAAAGTATATGACTACTTGGAATAATCAGCGCTCTTCTGGTTGAAACAAAAGCTCAGAGCATAAATCGAACTGATAAAGATCATGCATACAAAAATCGGCACATGATGTATGGCAAAACCATAAATTATATWGAGGTCATAGAGAAAGTGAACAATAGGAAAATCTATAGTTATAATTCTTATTGTACATTCAACAAAATAATACATTTTCATTGGCCGACAGGAGTGTACAATTACAGCGTTAATTAACATAAAATTTTGTTTCACTGAATGTACAAAAAATCGCACAACCTCTTGTACAATTTGGAATTAATAGTCACTCGTAATGTTTTGAAAGTTCTCAATTGCGAAGACTTTTAAAACATTACGAGTGACTATTAATAATTCCAAATTGTACTCAAGTTCGTGCGGATTTCCTATACAAATTGATAATAATACATCAATAATAACTTCATCCAAACGAGGGAATTAATTATTTACAACTGATTTAATCTGCGCAGATCTTGCAAGACCTGTTGCTAACGATGTAAAATCATGTGTTAAGTGCCCGCGCGCCGATATTCTCGATAAGTGTTTAAATCCATTGTTCATTCAAAAGCCTGATCCGAGATATCGCTTTCCTCGCCACATGAATCGAGGATTYAAGGTATTTGTCCTTTAAAACTAGCAGAGCTAGACTGCCGCGWTAAGCTAACCCTCCTAAGTACCATAGTAATGGAACAGCTCTCCTTTCCTGGACTGTCATCCCCTTTACTAAATGACGTCATGCGACAGAGCACGTTTTGCGCACGATGAATTTTTATGTCATATTCTTCTAAACTGTCCTCGAGTTCCAAAACGCGAGTTTCGAGRTCACCCTCGCGTGTTTCYGCCACYATAGCTCTTTGCGTTCCAAAGTTAATCCCATTTACCAGTCTACAAATCCTCATTTCCGAWTGTTTTCGTGCCTGAACCTTCTGCTTCAGTATTTCAAGTCTGGATTGAATTGCTRCCATTCGTCCGTGTAGAATTTTGAGTGTCTCTTCAGAGTCATGCGTTCGAGTTTGTATTTTGAGAATCGTGTCTTGGAGAKCTCCMATTTTCCCATGCATWGTCTCCCTTTGGTTGCGAAGAGCTGCGGTTTTCTCCCGGGCAGTGAAGACCTTGAGGGTTAATCGGTGTATGGGAGACCTCACCAGCGTATCATCTCTGCAACTACTTTCATCCCTAATGCCCTCCAAGCTTGCTGATGTTCTTAAAATAGTACKCTCTTGAGAAGAAAAATCTTTACTGCGCTTGCAAATCGTTGTAWCTTTATCCAAATATCTAGGGTTATTTTCATTACCTTGKCAAAATGATTCCAAGCTATAYSTACCCAATGCGACTGTGCGCAAAGGTTTAAACACTAAGCCATCAGCAAGCATGTATCGATTGACCTGACCGTCTCCACCAAACGCTCTCTTAAAATCAGGCGTCACAACATGACTTAAAATCTCTCTTGCTTCGCGTAGCTTRCTTTCAGCAAGAAAAAGACTTTTCTTTAGTCTTTGAACCTTCGTTCTGACATGCTCAAGTTTTGAGTTATCCCATCGCGCCCGCATTATGAGCGTTTGAATGTGTGAACTTCGTGCACTATCCAGCTCTGAATCGTCAATGAGAGTACCAACACCGGGTCTCTTATGCACTTATAGTGAAGAACGAGTGATGGAATTTACTAAGTGAAGACAGTGAATATTCTAGACCAATGCTTGATCTGGTGTCTCGTCACTTCAGCGTTGAAAGAACCAAACCACTCGGTGAAAAAACAATAGAGTCTCTTGTACGGTATAATTTACACTACATAAACACAGCAATCGTTCTTTCGATAACAATAAACACGAAAAGGCCAGAGTTTGTCTTGATTGGATAAAGATAGCGCAAAGTTAAGGAATGATTCAAAATAAATTTCAGCTGGCTAGACTTGCGAATACACGGCTGKCTTTTGGTATCTACGTGCGGTAGGTTCGCTTACTGATTGTACAAGAATCGAAGACGTGCTATAATGTTTCACGTAACTCAGCAGGTGGGACTGTGCAGCTATTGAGCCATGGTGTTCTGTTTCATTTGGGTTCATTCGCTCTGCTGCACTAGTGATATTTGTTGCATTGTCAAACAACCCACAAGCACGAAACAGTGTTTTCGGCAGTGCAGTCCCAAGAACACATCTCTGTCAATTACGGTTAGTTTGGAGTAGTTTGCCTTCTTTCCTAGGGCTGCAATAACGTTCTGTCGTGATAGTGGTTTTTAATTCAATAGGCCCTATGCAATATTATTCATGTGCTCGAGTTCAATGATGCAAAATGAATAATAAATTCCCTGCTTTTAATAATCTAGAATGATCATTTCGTTCAGATCCATGCCTCCATGTCAATTTGAGGAAATGTGCACGAGCTCTGGTGAGCTCTGCTGTTTCTTTGTTTTCACGTGAGTCTTGAAGTTTTCAAGGAACAAGGAAACCGTAACGCACATGCACTACGCTATATTTTATACGCACGGCATCAGGTTTTTCCACAAAAAGCAACCGAAGCGTAGTATAGGTATGTTGAGGTTGTCGTAGCAACAGCTGATGCGTGTACGGTCAATAAAGTAAAATGCAAATCTAACCAGAGTACTTTGCGGGCCGACTCATGTATTAATTTTTCAAGATTTCGACTGCTAAAGGCTGATTTACACGGTACGATTTGTCGCCCGCGACTTGTAGTACGATTTTCCTACTACAAGTCGTAGGATTTTAAGCCGTGGTTCAAAATCCCATTACAAGTCGTAGGTTGCGTACGACTGTTGTAGACGAATCGTAGGTGCATTTACAAGGCGCGATTCAAGTCGTATATTACAAATCGCACGAGACAATCGTGACGTGTAAATCAGCCTTAAGGATTTTGGAGAAAGCTAATAATGATAATCGGTTCAGCAAAAATCGATGTGTTTGAGCTTAGCTGTTTCTCTTTCTAATATAAGTTCTGATCAATTTTTTAATGGTTTATTTCATTACTTCAAGAACTGAATACTATAATACCATAAATAAACATCTCAACACTGTAACTTGCATCACGGTTGGACTCGATATTTTGGCTCAAGCGGTTCCAGYTCTTCCACAAAGAAAAATCGAAGCGTASTATGAYGTGTGGCAAAWGTCACTCTCAGTACTACCATATATTTGTCATACAGATATGTGCCGCGCTATAGGGTATGGTTTTTTCGGCTTTTATAGGGSTAGGGCATTTATTTAACATTWTTTTATTGATGGTTTTTGACTGGGATAGGGTACAATTTGATCATTTTAATCTGKATAGAGYTAGGTTTTGYTCTTTAGTCTGGAACAAGCTACGCTTCCGGTCGAAGCAAAAACAATGTGAATTCCGTTTAAAGRTTMCAAAATAGAGTGTATGAATTCTCAGGTTTAAATCTGGTATAGAGTATGAAAAGTTGGAATTTGAGATCTGGAATATAATAGGGTCTGGGTTTTGAGGTCCTGGCGGCATACCCTAAACCAAGTTGGTGTCGTAGTATACCCTCCCCCCAAAAAAAAACACACTCACACAACTCGAAATATTATGCATGTGTCAAATCGTCATAAGTTTTGCTTTATAGTTGCGAGCTCTGATCTCATTTTATCAGGGTTTTGAAACGGAATGACTGACTCAAAACATTCTCTCTAGGTTCTTTTCTTTTCGCATTAAAAATGAAAAGTGTTGACATCACCCTATCGAAAAAAGCCCCTTATTATTACAAGCTGAGTTAGACGTGTGAGAGTGTCGAGAAAAACGTGAGATACTTGACAGCTTTCAACACCTTGAGAAGAGATCGACGTAAAAGACCCTGAAACTACGTAGACACTGTCACGTCGATAGCGACATGTTAACTGTATACAAAATATATCCGAAATTATATTGAAGTTGCCTAGCGCTAGTATACTTTATGAAAAAAATATTNCTCGAAATATTGTGCATGTGTCAAATCGTCATAAGTTTTGCTTTATAGTTGCGAGCTCTGATCTCATTTTATCAGGGTTTTGAAACGGAATGACTGACTCAAAGCGACATTCTCTCTAGTTCTTTTCTTTTCGCATTAAAAATGAGTTGACATCACCCCATCGAAAAAAGCCCCTTATTATTACAAGCTGAGTTAGACGTGTGAGATTGTCGAGAAAAACGTGAGATACTTGACAGCTTTCGACACCTTGAGAAGAGATCGACGTAAAAGACCTGAAACTACGTACACACTGTCACGTCGTTAGCGACATGTTAACTATATACAAAATATATCCGAAATTATATTGAAGTTGCCTAGCGCTAGTATACTTTATGAAAAAAATATTGTCGATGATATCCCATAATTTCTGCTATATTTTATATATACTTAAATGAAATATGTGCAAAAATTAAAAGATCGTAATTTCTGCATATTCAGTGAAACACGGGTTCACTATGATGCAACCTGGGCCCTAGTATGGCGTCATATACTACTATCGAATTGCTTTGCCCACTTTCCCTTCACTGTAAAGTAATTAGTCACACATGCTGGTTTTGAATTAATTTCAGTACATCTTGAATTGAATGTGTGATGCTTTCAACCTTTTTTTCTTTTCTTTTCTTTTTTTTTCTTTTTACTGTTTATAATAATATTTAATCTCATTGAACATTCTGAAATTCAAAAAAGGGACTGTTATAGCCGCAGGATAAATGATTCTAGAGTGGAAAGCGTTTAAAACGCGAAAATAGAAATATTTGAAGCTTTAGGGAAGACGTTCCAAATGAGCCATACATTACCTCTTCGTCATTATTCATACAAAATTCAAACAAATTGCTACTCGGTGATTCAACACCAAATGGACTCAAACTTTGATGGTCGACTTTCATTCTTTCATAGTCGGGCCTTTTCTGAAATACCACTGCGCTTTGAATTGCGGCTTACATTCAAAACAAACATCTTTTGTTTATGCGACCAAATATGGTGTTGTTTGTACTGACGACTGAGACTAGACCATTATGCAACATAATTTTGTATTTCTAAAAAAGTGTCTGCGCGGTGAGGTTGCAGTTTCCGAAAAGTGGATTACTTTCACAGCTTGTATGTTCGCAGTCTCGTGAAGTCAATAGCACTCTCAATGTCATATAATCACAGGTGTCTCGTGTCCGTTATCGTATAGTTTTTAACACTGTCAGTTATATAGAGGATTACATGGCCGCGCGGAGATACGGATTTTATATTCGAGTGTTGAAAAGATCTCTCACGAGTGAGCGTAGCGAACGAGTGAGAGATTTTCAACACGAGAAGATAAAATTTGTATCTCAAAGCGACCATGTAATATTCTGTTTATCATATAAATAGATATGAAAGCAAATTATGTCGTAAAATACCTTTTTTCTTACTTCCACTATATAGAAAAACCTCGAATGTGTTATTTTCACTAGTGAAAATAGTGAAAATAACATGTTATTTTCACGAAAATATCAATTTTGCGTAATGGAGAAATATAGGTATTTCATAGATAATTATATAATAAACGTAAACTCGGCATGATACATAATAGATAGAATTCAAGATGGTGGTCATATTGGTTCATGATCACTTTCAGCAATTAAATAAATAAATAAAATAAATAAATAAATCGACTTTATTTTACGAGGGTAACACGTGACAGTAAAGAACTGATGAACTTGTGGCCRTCACACTCACACTCACTACCTCTACATTAATTATTTTAGCACACAACACTCCTCACATGTTGATTTTTACTGAGGGAGGAAAACCGGAGGACCCGGAGAAAAACCCTCGTGGCAAGGGAGAGAACAACACATCAAACAAACTCAAAACTCACATATGGTCCGTGCCCAGGAATCGAACCCGGACCACAGCGGTGAGAGGCCAGTAGCTTAACCACTAGACAACCCTTGCCACCCAATTCATTGTTCCTTTAATACCGAAGGACGACTCCTACGAAAATTACCAATCATTAAATTTGTACATATCTCTGTGGCATTATAATTAATCATTGAGCATCATGTTTTTAATATTTCAGTTTTGAAAACATTCTGATGAATATCTTTTACGATATATTTAAAAATATTTGGCATAGATTTTTACAGTCGAAGACTGCTCACGGCTTTAGTTGTATTTCCTCTTACTGGCACCATCTTGAATTCTTGACGTCTTAAAATGTTCAAAACTTAATGAACCCACAATGAGTGGGTCCAGTGTAGAGTTTTGAGCATTTCATGACGTCAAGAGTGTGTCAACAAGAGGACAAATAACGAAAAACCGTGTGCTATTTGTTTATTTTTTTTTTTTACCACATTCAAATTTAGCGAAAATCATAGTTCTTTTCTTTGAATTGAGCGTGCGCGCCAGACGTGATGCTGTCAGCACTGCGCGCGAGAGTTCGAGTTCAATTTTGGCCGTAAAAAATTGTTATTTATACTTTGAACTTAAATTCTCAATTTGGATGATTCCAAAAAGCAAATTAAACCCTTTCCCCGTCACTTTTCTTAGTATATATAAATAAAACGGCATACAGTGTAATCCCATTACTTGTTCCGTTGTAAAAACTACAACAAAGTCATTTGCATATATCGTAACAATCGAAATTAAGTAATGCCCCGAGTAAGAACTAGGGAAGCAAACGGCACAGGAATGCAAGAAGGTGCTAATTGCGCATTGTATAATCCATCCATCCCATTGGTTAAAACATGAACATCTGCTATACTTCACAAGTTAGCGAATTTTCTAATATTTTATTTAATGTCTGTTTTCGCTTTCATGAAAGCTTTCTTTAGCTTTAATATTAAGGCAATTCTACGTGGGGAAC